ACTCACTCCAGGACGACTCCCACTACGGCCACCCCGACAACCCCAACTAGCGTACCACTCACGAAGCTGTTCGGGGGTGAGGGACTCACGCGGGCGACGCTGGAGCTGCATCTGGCCACGCCAGGAGCAACAGTAGCAGTAGAAAGAGCAGTAGCAACAAGAGCAGCAGTAACAACAGTACGGGCAGGGCAGTGCTCACCAGTGGCGAGAAGGGCAGGCGTACGACAGCGGCAACGGCGAGGCCGCTACCACTGTAGGGCGAGAGCTCCGCGGCAGCTGCAGTGGTGGCTGCTCCAGGGGCGGCAGTTGTGGGGGCGGCTGCTTCAGGGGCGGCTGCTGCAGGGGTGGCTGCTCCAGGGGCGGCTGCTGCAGGGGCGGCTGCTGTAGTGGCGGCTGCTCCAAGGGCAGCTGCTGCAGTGGCGGCTGCTCCAGGGGCGGCTCGGCTGCTGGGCGACTCGGCTGCTGGGCGGCTCGGCTGCTTGCTAGGGGCGGCGACGGGCTCCGGGTAGGGGCGGCGACGGGGCTGGTTGGGGCGGCGACTGGGCCGCGTAGGGAGGGGAGCGGCGACGGGGCCGCTAGGGGTGGCGTCGGGGCCGCGTAGGGGCGGCGACGGGGCCGCGTAGGGGCGGCGACGGGGCCGCTAGGGGCGGCAACAGGGCGGCGTAGGGGCGGCAACGAGGCCGCGTAGGGAGAGAGGCGGCGACGGGGCCGCTAGGGGCGGCGACGGGGCCGCGTAGGGGCGGCGACGGGGCCGCGTAGGGAGGGGAGCGGCGACGGGGCGGCGACGGGGCCGCGTAGGGGCGGCGACGGGGCCGCGTAGGGAGGGAGGCGGCGACGGGGCCGCTAGGGGCGGCGACGGGGCCGCGTAGGGGCGGCGACGGGGCCCTAGGGGCGGTGACGGGGCCGCGTAGGGGCGGCGACGGGGCCGCGTAGGGAGAAAGGCGGCGACGGGGCCGCTAGGGGCGGCGACGGGGCCGCGTAGGGGCGGCGACGGGGCCGCTAGGGGCAGCGACGGGGCCGCGTAGGGGCGGCGACGGGGCCGCGTAGGGAGAGAGGCGGCGACGGGGCCGCTAGGGGCGGCGACGGGGCCGCTAGGGGCGGCGACGGGGCCGCGTAGGGGCGGCGACGGGGCCGCGTAGGGAGGGGAGTGGCGACGGGGCCGCTAGGGGCGGCGACGGGGCCGCGTAGGGGCGGCGACGGGGCCGCGTAGGGGCGGCGACGGGGCCGCTAAGGGTGGCGCGAGGGGCCGTGAGAGGGGCCTCTAAGAGAGCTCGACAGAAGGGCGGCCCACAAGGCGCGCCTCGGGCAGGAGTGACTGGCGCTCCGGTCAGAAAAAAAGTTTCAGTGGTGGGCCCAAGGAAGCGTTTCCACTAGGGAACCTGCTCTATACCATGTTAAGAAATGAGGAATGAATGAACTAGCACAAGGTTGGGTACAAGTAGGAAACCCTAGGAAACTGTACCCCATAGTGTCTACCCCACTATAGCCTAGACAAGCTATATGATATGAGTTTGACAGAGGGCGGCTCGACGGGCGACGAGAGGGGCCGCGCGCAGGCCCCCAAGGCGCCGCGACGAGGCGACGGTTGAGGCCGGCGCGCGGGCCCCCAGGGCGCCGCGACGAGGCGACGGGAGGGGCCGGCTCGCGGGCCCCCTGGGCGCCGCGACAAGGCGACGGGAGGGGCCGGCGCGCGGGCCCCCAAAGCGCCGTGACGAGGCGACGGGAGGGGCCTGCGCGCGGGCCCCTAAGGCGTCGCGACGAAGGGACGGGAGGGGCCGGCGCGCGGGCCCCTTGGGCGCCGCGACGAGGCGACGGGAGGAGGGCGACGCGCGGGCCCCCAGGGCGCCACACGAAGCAAGAAACCGCCGCGCGCCTTGGGGCGCACGGCGGGCAGAAAACCGCCACGCGCCCCGAGCGCGTGGCGGGAAGAAAAATCGAAGGTCGCGCGCCACAGGGCGCGCGACACACAGTAGGGCAGCGGAAGCAGGTTGGCCCACAGGCCAGGAGCGTAACCGCTCTGATAGCATGTGAGAATAGTAGACATAGTTAGGAGCCATAGCTAGGTAAGCCCTAGCTAGGCAAGAGAAAAAATAGGCAAAGAAGAAGGTTTTTTTTTTTGTTTTTTGTTTTTTTTTTTTTTCTAAAGAAGAGGAGGGGGATTCACTAGCAAACATTGGGATACATATAGCAAACATTGGGTATTGAAATTGAAATGATAGACGGGGAAGAAAAAAAATCACAAGTCAAGACTTCAACTTTCCAAAATAACACAGAGTATGTTTTAAGTTTCTAATGGACCCAACTAAGAGGGGGGGTCACTATTTTGCCTAAGGGGACAACCCATCTTCAAATGTTGAAGTATAATTTAATATATTGCATGGTCCCTCGTTTGTATGTTTGTGATTTCACTCAATGTCTGATAGTTGTCAATCCCCTTATTTGTGATTTCACTCAATACTCCAGGTTTATATATGCCTTTTAATAAAGGCTTACAAACATATCTGCTCATCCAACTCTTGTGACACTAGAGAATTTTGTATTAACAAGTGAAATGTTGTTTCTAGAGAATCTATAGAACTGGGTGCAACAGTGATTTTCATGGGAATCCTCGTCAGTAACCACGTGATAGTGTGTGGAATGGACTAACTGACAGGTGGCAAATGTCCAACGCAACCAGGATTCTATTGCGTGCGCCATGGAAACCCCAGGCTGCCTGACGCATTTCACCTCACCACCACCACAGCGCATTAGGGATTCAGCAGCCATTCAGATCGCGTCACGTTGGATATGTGTGTGTGAGGTGTGGTGCCGATTCGCATCTGGGATAGATTTGCCGCACTTTTATACCATCCAACGATTCGCGTGAGTAGAATTATTTGTTTGTTGATTGGTTTGGTGCCGCACTTGCCCGTAGGTCCTGCGCAGGTTGCCCAAACCTTGCCCAAACATCAACACATATATTCAAAAGTAACAACTCTTAGCCCTTCATCAGTACAGTACATGTTTGATCTAAAAAGAATGATATTTTGCCAACAATCCTGTAATCCAAGTCATCGTCATGGGCCCTCACACTCACGATGGGATGGATGGGTTGTGTGGGTGGGGTAGGAGCCTTTGGTGGATGGTGGGATGAGATGGTATGGATCTGGCAAAGCAACACAGTGGTTCCCGAACACCTCGTGTCTATGATTCGCATTGAAGGGAATAGTGGGATCGGAAACTCACACCAGACCAAGAGGATGCGCTAATGAGGAGAAGGGGGACGGGGCGGGGGGGTCGGGCGGGGGATCAAGGAGAGACCTTTCCGAAAACTCGAGTCTACAATCAGGGCTACCCTTGAAATTATCCCTAGAATCGACAGAAAGAAGCGTTTTTGTTAAAGCCAGGGTTTCATGTACGGGTTGGCCGTGCAACTGCAAAGCACTTGGGCGAAAAGTGGGCTCTTTGGAGAGTCTCGATTTGTCAAAAGTTTGGCCCTAAATTTGTAACCCAATCAGACTGGCCCGTTTTTCATCGACTGCAAAGCACTTGGTCACTTGAGACCCTGGCTTTAACCTCACGGCTATTGAGGGCAATTGCCTTGGATTCGACAACCCTCCTCCGTAAACCACATTTACACTAATTCGTTTTGCAGTACGGTTGACGCATGAGCCGTGACCGTTGCATACAAGCCGAGCACGCCGCCTCTGTTCAGATAGGCGGTTTGCCAGAGCACGGAAGCTGCTTTTGTCGCAGACAAATCAGCAGCAACATTTTTAGTGCACGCGTTTCAAGTCGTTTCATGTCTGTGGGTTCTTATGGCGGGTTTTGATAGGACAGTTTCCACTAATTTCTTTTTTGACTTGGATGCCTTTTGGGCAGGATCACGAAAATCGAAAGGGTACGCAGTTCAGATTAAACAGCAGCCCAACGTCGTACACTGTACAGTTCAACGTCGCACAGTTAGTGTTGGCACCAGAGGAGGGGCTTCTGATGAAACTGTACTGTATCAGCCAAGGAAGAAGGTTCTCTCCTTACTGTCTTGAATGTGATGTTGGGTTTCTTGTGTCTAGCCCCATGTTGACCTGCATAATTTGGCAAATTATCCTCACATGTAGCCAAGAGCGTCCCAGCCCGAGCCGCGCTCTCAATTCGTTCGTTCCCTATCCGTTTGAAAAATAGAAGCATTGCAGAACGTGTCCCTGCGTTTCGAAGCGTGTCTAAGTGTACTACAGGATTAATGGTCGCATGAACAGCTAATCCCTAACCGCTAATCGCATGAAGACTGAATGACCTCACGGCCAGTGTTTCAAATGGACCCTTGCCTTGCATTTTGCATTCGTGACTTTGGGGTGCAGGGATTTTCTTTCGCACACTACAACACACGGTCAGGGTGGCGTGAAATAGAATGGTTTCCAACATTGTGATTCGCAAACTGGTTGTTTTGCCCCAATCGCAATGCGCTCACGTTACCTGAATGAATGGCAAAGTCCCGTCGCGATCTGTTCATAGTCCTACTACACAGCTCATTTCGACCCTTACCTACCCGCCATTGTCAACGAGCGTATCACAGGGCAGCACCTGCCCACCCACTCGCCTCACAATGAAATCCTCCTACTCCCGTGCTCTGACTGCCTTCTCCACTTGTTCTCCACAGTGGCGCCAGTGGGTCACCACAATCTGCATCCTGAACGCCAGGTGCAGCTCATTTCGCCAAGCTGCTTCTCTCCTGACCGAAAAATCTCAACTTCTCTGAACCATCATTTGAGTCAGCTCAACCATTCGATCATTCTCGCAAATACCTGCACACATCAATTGAGTCGTAGCTTCTTAGAAAATAATCTCAATTCTCGTTCCAGCCAGTCTCGCGCGCGACTTCCGCACTTGCATAGTTGAGCGACTCTCAATTCTCCAATCAATCTCTTTGTCGAATGTTCGCGTAAACCATGGCTCTCTGCGTATCATCACAACCGTCCAGCTCTGACCACCGCACAGGGCCGTCGCTCGCGTCGCCCGCCGATATGATGCGCTCCAGCACCACCTCCGCTACCTTCGCCCGACAACACCGCTACCCTGCGCACCAGCCCTCCCCTTCCGGTTCGCCTCCTTCTCAATCCTCCTCACCTGGCGGGTCCGCCTTGGGCACGCCTTCGCGCTTTTACCAAGCATCAGCACTTCCGCCCTCGGGGGATGCAAGTGAAACCCAACTTCCGCTGGAGCATCAGGCGCACTCGTCCCTCAACGGTCCATCATTTGCGCCGACCTTCCTCCAGATGCAGCCCCGCCGCCCCACGTGGCTCCCCGCGGACCAGCAGGACGAGCTGCTTGATGACGACGCCCTGGCGGAGGCCCCCGTGCGCGGAACTGCGCGCGCCATTGCACGCGGTGCCAGCTGGACAGGCTCCGCGCCTGCCCACGCGGCCTTCGGCGGGCGGCGTAACGCTGTGACAGGCGACGGGGGGCTGGGAGGAGAGCCGCTGAGCAGCGAGTTGGTGTGTCCGATCCCCGCCGTCAACTGGAAGGAGGAAGCGGCGATGTCGTCTGCGGTGTGCCCCATCGCGCCACAGGACTGGCGCGCGCTCTCCCGCACCAGCAGCGCCAGCGCCAGCGAGCACGACGTGGCCGCGTCATCGGTCCTCAGCACCGCCGCGGGTCTCGCCGGGTCTTGCGGCGGCTCACCGCCGGGGTCGCTATCGTCGGCGGGTAGCTCGCCGTTGCACAGGAGTCCGTTGAACAGCGGCCCCCTGCAGAGCACGTCGTCATGCCCGCTGCCAGCCGACGTGCTTTACGGCGCCGGGGCCGGCGGCGTGGGATCCGGGCCTGCCTGTTCGGGGTTTAGCGCAATTGGTGCTACAACCGCGTATGCTAGTACCGGAATGATAGGAAAGGAGTCGACCGCTGTTGCGAGTGGCGCGAGCGGAATCTTACCCTCGGCGGTTCCTCTTCATGCATCGCTGAGGGAGCAACTGCTGCGCGCTAATAGCGGGTCCTGTGCCTACCAAGGTACCGTCCCCCACACCCCTGCCCCCTCCTTTTCCTTTTGTTGTTTTTGTTCCCTGATTTTGTTTTATTATTATTATTTTTTCTGCTTTGCGACTGATGCACTCGTGATTTCCCCCGGTTTCTCCTCACGCACCCAGTGCCGTCGCACCGCTCCGCCTTCCCTTCCTCCCACAGTCGAAGTGTACTAAATAGTCCCCTTCTTCTCCGTCTCGCTCGTTCCACCGTTTATGGGTGCAGGTCCCGCAGCCGCGCGACCCGCCATCAGTCGCATGGCGATGTCTTGCTCTAACAGTCGCCAGTCGAGTGGTAACTTCGCTGGCTACTCGCGAAGTTCTAACTGCAGCCCTGCTCGCGATTCTACGCACGGCAGTGAAGACACGGGATCAAACGGCGGCGTCAACTGGCAAGGTGAGGAGGGACAGGGAGATTGGGGAGAAATGTAAGGTGGTCGGGCAAGCAAATGGAGAAAGGTGAAAGTAGGAAGGGAGAGGGGGGGAGAAAACTAATCTCATAAGCAGATTTGCACACAATCGTTTATATGCGTGCAAGACAATACATTCAAAAACTGCTTTTCTTTTTCCTCATATTTCCCGATTCACCTTTACTCACTGCAGAGCTCGACGACCTGTGCCAGAGCATGGACGCAGCAGGGATTAAGATAGAGCAGATTGACCTCACACCCCTGGAAGACGCATCAGATGATGCCCATGGCCTTTCCTCTGCTGCTGCTGCTCCTTCCTCTGGTTACTCCGGGAGGAACTTGAAAGCCTCTGCTGCTCCTGAAGCTGGGGAAGGTGCTGCTCCTGTGAAGTATGCTGTCAAGTTTGGTGGCATGTCCATGTGGCACTCACCTTCTCATTAAAGCTTACTCACAACGCCCTGGTAAGGGACAGCCTTCTGAACACCGAAGGCCATCACCCACCCTTATGTTTTCACAAGGGATTTTTGTGCAGAGGATAGTACATTGGGCTCGCGTGTGGGAGCTGGTGGGGAAAAGGGCATAGCTTTTCCAGCTTACCCACAGCATGTAGGTGGTTCATGTTGTGGATACTTTATTCTTACCTATATTTGATTTCGACTAAAACATGAAAAGTCCTACCGTACAAAAACACTGGAACTAGGCGACACTTCTGCTGGAACTATATCAGATAAAGGCTCAGACCTAAACATCAAACCTCAATCAACTTGCCGACAGTCGACCAGGTGGCCAACATGAAAGAAAAGTCTGACTGCGAAGCATCTCAATTACAGTACAGTACTGGACAACCGAAGGGCCTTTGCTTCGCTGGATGATGCCACAGACTTCGGTGTGCTGGTTGGGTTTGCTCTATGGCTTGCCTTGAATTGGCGCAAAGACCATCGCCGCGCGCGCAGTTTTCGGCGCATAAACCAAACCTTTGCCGAACCAGTGGTTTGGTGGGTATGGGAACCAGAAGAGGCTGCTCGGTCTCTTGGCCAGCCGCCACGCGACTGACTGCCAACAAGCCAGAAAACGCTGTTCGTCGCCATGCTTGGTTGGTTGGAAGAGGCCTGCATTTTGCGCCTTCTGCAGATTCCTATGCCTTTCACATCCCTCATTCTCCACCTCCCTTCTCCTTCATTTATGTCTCTCTTTCCCTCATTTATGACACTCTGCTTGATTCAGTAACGGAACAAGAAGTGCGTATTTGTGCTCTCGACCTCTATCGCACAATACCATACAACATTAGTTGTAGACGCACGCCAAGAGAATGTTGTAGGTAAAATATCCCTACGTAAAGAACGTAAGAACGAACCAACCACAGCAGGGTTGCGTAGCTTGCCGGGGTTATAGAAATTAACATCTGGCAGTAGGAAGCTGCCTTCGACCACTCAGCCCTACATGTCTCACGACAACCTCCCTTCCGTCTCCTTCTCCTCTTTCCACTGCCACGTCACCTCGCCACCCAAGAAGCGAGCGGATGCGTCGCGTTCGCCTCTCGTCGCTGGCGCGGACTTTCGCAGCCCGCGCCGGCCGCTTTCAGGCACAACCCGCAACAGCCGCTGCCACGGCATGGCGCGGGGGGGGGCGTGGCTCCCGAAGTGGGAACTTGACAACGATGACGACTCGGCGGGAGCGACGGCGGGTGAAAGAAAAGCCAGGAGGCAAGCCGGGAAACGGCCGGAGAGTGAAGTGGCTGGTAATGGTGAAGTGAAAGAATTCTCGGAAATAGTTGCGGAGAGCAAGAGGACAGCAGCGGTGACCGGGACGGACGCGGGGAACGATCAAGAGATGGAAATGGACGAGGCGGTCTCACCTGCTTGCGTGTTGGCCACGGCAGCGCGGGAAGCGCTTGCCATGTCAGCGGCTGAGGGCTGCTCTTGCGAAAACGCGGATGATGGCGCGAGCAGCGCGGAACTCGCGGGAATGGCGTGCGCTGGGGATGCTGTTGCGGAGAGGGAGGGGCAGGACGTGGCGGAGTCTGAACGGAAGGTTGTCGTTCCAAACGCCTGCGGTTCCCCCTCCCTACAGGTCCCTGCAGTCTTGTCGACCGTAGAGGCGGAACTAGACCAGCGCCGGGAGGTGCTGGGGGGGATGCTGGCGGTGCTTCGTCAACGGATGAGCGCCCTTAGAGCCCTGGCAGGCGGAGAAGGGAGCGGTGAAAGCGGCGTAGAAGAGGAGATTGATAGAGTGGTGGATGGCAGAGAGGAAGATGAGAGAGACGATGTGGAAGCAGAGGAGGAGGAGTCTTTAGACGGGGATGGTCTGATGAATGAGGAGAGGCGAGATGGGGAGGTCAACGACTGGTGTTGCGGCAGTGTACCGAACAAATTACGACATCCAGAAGAGGAATCGTGCAGAGAAACCGGTGTTGGTGCTGCTGCTGGCAGCATGACGAGCACAGAAAGTTCAGCCACTCTAAACAATGTTATTTGGGAGGGGCATGGGGAGAGCACAAGTCATGTAAGTTTGGAGCTTAACCCATTGTTCAGGGGCCAAGATGAGAAGCAAAGTGAGTGTGATGCAACGTGCTGTGCGTCAGGGAAGCCCACTGCTACCATAAATGATGTAGAAAAACTGGAAGGAGTGTGCCATGAGGGGGTGGAACTTGGAGGGAAGGAAGTCGCAGCTGGTGAGGGAAATGATACAGGGCACAGCCCGCTTGGGCTACCATGTGTGTTGTCCGACGACTCAGACGACGATCAGTTTTTCGATCTGCCTACGTCGCCCACTTCCCCCACTTCCCTCGTATCTGGACCCTCCTCGCCACGATGGCTTTTTCAGTGGCAATCAGCATCGTCGTCAGCCTCCTCATTAGCCGTGGTGCCAACAGAACCTGTACAGGAGGCTGGTCGTTTGCAGACTCAAACCATTCCCCTCTCGCGACAGAGAGCCTTGCCACTTCAGTTTATCTTATGGGTAATATCTTGTTGCTCACGGAGACGATGGTAAGAACCATGTCGTGCGATGGTAGGAGATGGTATATATTTGGTGCGCAGCACTATCTGTAATGTAAATTGGTTTGGGATGTACAGTGTGAGGTCCTTGTAAATTGTCATGGGTCAAGGAACCATTGAAAAACTCTTGAGACAGCTTTTAGTCAAATAGCACTGTACAGCAAATACCGTCACCCCCGGGATATAAGCGCCACATATCAAACTCATATGCTATAGTCTGTGTAGGCTGTAGTGGGGTAGACAATATGGGGTACAACACTTTTAGGTTTTCCTACTTGTACCCACCTGCTTCCTAGTTCATTCATTCCTCATTTCTTCACATGGTACAAAGCAGGTTCCCTAGTGGGAACGCTTCCTTGGGCCCACCACTGATTTTTTTTTTTCTGACCGAAGCGCGAGTCGCCCCTGCCCGAGGCTCGCCCCGTGGGCCGCCCTCTCGTCGCGTCCCCTGCCCTTAGCGGCCCGTCGCGCCCTTCTAGAGGCCCCTCTCACGGCCCCTCGCACCACCCCTAGCGGCCCCGTCGCCGCCCTTAGCGGCCCCGTCGCCACCCTTCGCGGCCCCGTCGCCGCTGTTAACAGGAATGTAGTGTTGGCCCCGCCCTCGCTTGGGCAACGCCGACGACTTGGTCGGATGTACGGGAGTAGCAACCGACCGTTCACAGTGGGAGAGCTGCTTGACAGGCTTCGTCGAGCTGCAGGGGACCGCTGTGGTGTTGCTGTCGACTAGGGAGCTCGACAGCTGCAACTGACTGGTCTGGGCGACGGGTGGGACGTCGACCAGGACCTGCAGTTCGACCGGGAGGTCGACGGAGCAGTCCGTCGACCTGACAAGTGAGCAGCGGTCGACGAGGGGAGCTCGGCGACAACCGCTGATGGCTCTGGTTGACGGAAGGGGTCCGTCGACCAGGGGGTAGCTCGACGGGAGTTGTGGTCGACCAGAGGGACCTGGTGGTTGACCGGGAGCACCTGGTGGTCGACCGGGTCGACTGGGTAACCTGCTCGACGAGTTCTGCGGAGGCACGCGAACGTCGTCGAGGTTGCGATGGCGCAGGCGACTGCGGGCTGGTATCCTGGAGTCGATTTGGCTCGTCAGGCGCAGACAACAGGCGACGAATGCCCAACGAGGCAAGTCAGGCCAATCGTCCGCGCACACCTGCGAGCGTGCACATTGCTGTGTTCTACGGGGCAACGCTGGACAGCCGCTCTGCTGCAGCGTTGGCACGCCGTCGACCTGCTCCGTTGGCAGGTCACCTTTCTGCAGTGCTGGCGCGGCTCCTCTACGCAACGCTGGCAGGCGGTCGACCGAACTGTGCTGGCGGTCGACCAGGCTAGCAGCAGGGTTGCTAGGTGCCTGATGTAGTCATTGTTGCCATCTCTTGTTGGACTGATTCTGGAATTCCAACTTTGCTAGTGGAAACCCTTGCCAATTTCTCCCGTGAATGTGCAAACACTAAGGAACCAAGCAAATCTACGATCACCTCTAGTAGTTCGTGCCAACCCCTGTAGTCTAGCTCACTACCGTTGTAGAGTGAATCTCCGCATGGTGCGGTGAGTGTGGAGCGAACACGCGACCTTCAGATAGGAGCCGACTTTTGCACCTACTAAGCCGTTCGTAGGCCGGCAGCAGCGATAGTCGCCATGGTCGACCCCGTAGTTGATGCGGGTGTAGCGGACACCTTGGAGGCACGTTTGGCTGACGCGAGGAGACGCCACGCGGATGGCGAGTACAGGACGATCCCCTTGGTGATCGCCGAGTTGGGCATCCGGTCGCAGTGGGCGACGGAACACCCTTCCCGTCCTACTTCTCCTCGACCGGTGCGCAACGAAGGTGGCGTCGACGACGAGGTCGTCGGTGGTGCACGAGTCAGCGGCAGCGAAGGCACGAGGCAGAGAGGAGTGATCAAGGTCGACGGTGGTGTCGACGGAATCCAGGCGCGAGTGCAGCGGTCGACGGCTGCTGCAGGGAGCTCGCGTGCCGACGTCGATGTTTGACGCCGTTCTCCTCCACGAAGGGGTGGAGGGCTCTCGGTGACGACATACGTGACGGCGGGCGGGATTGCACCGGCGTATGGCTACTTCAAGTTCTCGCCGGACCGGATCGCCGTCGCACCGCTGCAAGGTCGACGAGACCTCATCACTTGGAGGGAGTCGATTGAACCTCAGCTAGAGGCCGCCGGGCTGAAGGGCTTCGCCGATGGCACCGTGCCCTTTCCGCCCGAGGAGGATGTCGAGCTACGCGGGGAGTTTCGTTCTGCTCACCTGCTTACCTTCATGGTCATCTCGAGGTGCTGCTCGCCAGTGGTGCAGCTAGCGCTCAGGAGCTGTCGAGAGCGACTGGATGCTGGTCACCAGGCATGGCACTTCATCATGTCGACGTACCAAGCCAGGGACGACCTGTACATCGGAGAGGTAGAGGAGAAGATGACTCACATTCGAATGGGCGAG